CCACGGAGAAAGCCCTATGATCTCATATAATCCTGCAACAACCCCCTTCTCCTCCACCCCTGTGCTGCCCCTGCTTCTCTCTCCTCCCCGGTAATGGCTAGTTTGCTCTTTATATCTGTGAATCTGCTTCTTTTTCGTTTTACTCACTCGTTTGTTATATTTTTTAGATTCCACATATAAGTGACATCCATCTATGGATTCTTGACTGAAAAATCTCAAGGTGACTATACTGCAAGTTTTATCCTATTTACTTAAGAATTTTGCCTTCAAGGTGCTTATAAATACTGATTTTCCTTTTTTTTCCTTTGCTTCATGGCATGTGGGGTCTTATTTCCCTGACCAGGGATCAAACCTGAGCCCCTTGTGGTGGAAGCCTGGAGTCTTAATCACTGACCCGCCAGGGAAGTCACTGGTGAAATGAAAATACTGATTTTCATTTATTTTGCTTCCTACATCACCCCTAATTTAGAGACTAGCTCCTTGTTAGGACATCTCTTACCCTGGTGATCTCCAGTTCTACAGTCCTTTCTTTAATCCTGGCTCCCTCCTGGGCTATTGGCCATGGATGTTTACCACACCGGATCTCAGACCTGTGAGTTGCACCACCAGTCTTAGGGTGCTGCTAACCCCAAAGTGTTCAAGCCACTCTTCTCTGCTCCCTCTCCCCCAGGTTCTACTTCCTCTGCTGAAAGAACTCCCCACTGGGGATTCTCACCCGAGGCACCCCTTGGCCACAACCTCAGCCGTTGTTCTGTACAGCGCCACATTCCACATTCTTGTTTGTCCCTTTGTAGGCAAGGCTTTATTTTGGTGGTGTAATTCTGTCTCCACCGGTCAGGACATGGACACCTGCTGTTCCCTACTTCTGGAAGATATGATTCCTCACTGGGTAAACTGGCGGCCACTCTGCCTTGGGTGTCTGCCTAAGTACACAGCAGACTCTCCCCTTACCAGTCACCAGATATTAATAGCTCATTTGTATCTCATAAAACCCATTAACTCAGGGCCCTACCAATTTTCCTACTCCACCCTGCCACTTGCCTAAATATATTTAGAAACTTCAATGAGCATAGGTCCTTTGGAGAGGAAGGTGACAAGATAAACCAATTTAACCTTTATAGGATATGTAATTCTACTTAAGTATAAGGCATTAAAGGTAACACCATTAAGAAATGTTTCTGAAGTTAAAAGCCGTAGGACAATAAAACACTTTAAAATTTGAGCCATTGAGAAGCCAATCCCAGTGGGTTGTGACATTGATCTATCTTTAAAATGGGTGGATGGTTTCTACGTATATTCCAGGATCTAACTTCTGGCTTTCGGGAGACTGAGAGTGGGATGAAGTAAGGGAGAGGGAAAGGCTTTGAGTCAGAGATTACGTCCCCATCCTGCCTCTGAGCTCCCCTCACAGTGGCCTCTATAAAGTTCTCCAGATCCTCAGAGGCCATATTTTCTCTGTAAAGTGGGAAACACTCCTCAGAAATGTTGTAAAGATCAGGAACAATTCTGTAAAAAGCTGCTTGCCATGCCTGTCACCTTAGTTGATGCCCAATAACTAGTAGTTGCCATGATTATGTTTACTTAAATCAGTGGGGTAATCTTTTTTAATTGAGGTATAATTGCATTACGAAATTGTGTTAGTTTTTGCTGTACCACAAAGTGAATCAGCTGTATGTACTATATGTACACATAGATCCCCTTCCCTTTGGGCCCCCTTCCCACCACCCGCCTCCCAGCCCACCCATCTAGGTCATCCCAGCACACAGGGCTAGGCTCCCTGTGCATACAGCACCTTTTAACTTACATGTTTATTTGACAATTCACCATAACTGCCTTCAAATTCAAAACTCTTAAAATTGTATGGTATGGGGTAAGGAAGTTGTATATGCGTGCGTGCATACTCAGTCATATCTGACTCTTTGCAACCCCATGGACTGTAGCCCATCAGGCTTCTCCGTCCATGGGATTCTCCAGGTAAGAATACTGGAATGGGTTGCCATTTCCTCCTCCAGGAGATCTTCCCAACCTAGAGATTGAACTCGTGTCTCCTGCACTGGCAGGCGAATGTTTTACTGCTGATCAATGGAAGTTGTATACACATCTCAATAAAGCTACAAAAAAGAAAGATTGTTAAAATTTAGAAAATGCAGTCTATCCAATTCCATTAAGAAAGATACAGGTGATTTTTAAAATGAAAAATCTCAGGACCTATTCTGCAGGTGACCTGTAAATACTGATTAATGTACTTCAACTGTAGTTTTTCATAAGGACACAAGCCCAAGTTCTCTCTTATATAGCCTGCCCTTAATCCAAGCATTAATGACTATTTTTCTATCATAATATTGTTTTGATAATCAGGCTTTACTCATTGGAAAATAATTTGAAATGCGTGATAAAATACATCCTCATGCTTTGATAAGTGAGTATAATTAGCTTCCAAAATTTTTGTTCATGAGCCCAAAGTGGTGTCAGCAATCATTAAATATTCCCATTTAAATTAATGGGAGGACTTCCTTGGCGGTCAGGGGGTTAAGACTCTGTGCTTCCAATGCAGGGGATGCAGGTTCAATCCCTGGTCAGGGAACTAAGATCCCATATGCCACGCAGCCAAGGCCAAAAAATAAATAAAAATATTTTTTTAATTAATTAATTAATGGAAAACAGTGTTTCTGCTAAAGAAATAATTAACAGAGTGCCTCGTTTAGCAGTGTTGGAGGACCCCAAGGCTCTGTCCTGGCCGCCCTGCCTTCCTCCAGCACCCCTTCCTCCAGGGAGGCTTCCTTCACTCTCCAAGCCCACGGCGTTGGTTGTCCTTTCTGTACCGCAGACTCGGCTCCAGCCAGGGCATCTCTCGGAACCCACACAACTACCTACTCACCTGACATCTCCACATGGGTGTCACCGTAAACAACATGGTCAAAACCAAACTCACAATTCTCAGACCACTTCACCACCACCTAAGTCGTCTTCTCCTTCTTTGTAAATAGCATCACTAATTTCCTGTTGTCTAAAGCCAAAACCTATTTCTCATTCCACAGCAGCTCAATGAGTAGATACTGTTACCTCTCCTCTCAAAACACATCCTCAAGCTATCCATTTCTTGCCACCTTTGTTCCTTCCATCCTCGGCTCGGGCACTATCATCTCTTGCCTAGAATACAGCCATCCCTTCCTGACTGGTCTCCCCGCCTCCCTTCTCACCCCTGCTACAGTCGATTCCCCACAGGGCATCCAGAACAAGCTTTTAAAAACGTTAATAGTTTTTTTCTCTTCCTCGTGCTTCCAATGAGCTCCCCCTGGGTACATAGAATCAAATTCAAACTCCTTCCACTTGCCTCAGCGGTTCTTGTCTCTGGGGAGTGACTGGAATTGAATAGGAGCATTTTTGATTGTCATACTGATTAGGAGGGGGGCAGCTCCTGACATTTAATGAGCAGGGTAAAGTAATCCCATGGACGGGATTTTCCAGGCAAGAAGACTGGAGTGGGTTGCCATTTTCTGCTCCAGGGGATCTTCCTGTCCCAGGGATTGAACTCAGGTCTCCCACATTGCAGGCAGACTCATAACCCTCTGAGCCACAATTCCTAAAGTATACCAGATGTCCCATAATTGTGGGACTCTCTTTATTCTGCCTGCTGATCTGTATCCAAGCCTGGATGTGGACTAAATATGATTTTAAATTTATTTATTTATTTATTTTTGGTTGCAATGGGTCTTTGTCGCTGCTTGTGGACTTTCCCTAGTTGCGGCTAGCAGAGGCTAATTTTCGTTGTGGTGCATGAGCTTCTCACTGTGGTGGTTTCTCTTGTTGCGGAGCACAGGCTCTAGGCATGTTGCTTTCAGTGGCTGCAGCCCTCAGGCTCAGAAGTTGTGGTGCAGGGGCTTATTTGCTCTGAGGCATGTGGAATCTTCTGGAACCAGGAATTGAACCCCATGTCCCCTGCATTGGCAGAGGGATTCTTATCCATCACACCATGAACGAAGTCCCTGACTCACTATTATACATTAAACACAGAGTAGAAAGGATGTGCTTTGTTTGGCTCTAAACTTTATCAAAAGATGTTAACAATTTCAGAAATCACCCGTCTCCAGGGGAAGCCACTGGCTGTGTCTGAGTCACTGTGGCAAATTTCCTTCACGTGCACACTGATCCTACTTAGATGGGCAAACATTCATTTACTTCTTATCTTCCAATAGAGCTGTGCCTGAGCATTTACATGTTGAAATACAAAATGCTTTATTATAAATTGCCTTTTAAAATTATTCCTTTAGCACAAAATAGATTGGTTGATGATACCAGTCTAGGCTTAAGAGTAAAACTTTTGGACTAACTAGGTTCACCCTTTGAGGGACAAGATGAGGGCCCTTAGATATAAGGCACAATTCGTTTGCCAGTGTGTGGAGTATGGTGGTCATAACAACCTTATAACAAAATAAACAGTAACTGACACGGGACCTGTAGGAGGGGCCTTACTCTTCTCAGGAGAAAAATTGCAGATGAGGTCCATTAATCGATGGACCAACCACAAACTTGGGGCTGGAATTTCAGTTTTACTATCACTTTTGTTTCCTTGGAGGACTGGATAGATTTGTCTTCTCAATATGTTTTTAAATTTAAAAAAAAAAGTTAAGGTGAAAAAGGAGCCATGTTATCTGGGAACTTCATTTTAAGGCAGGTCCATGGGGTTGCAAAGAGTCGGACACGACTGAGCAGCTGAACTGAGCTGAACTGGAGGACCACTACAAAGTATATTTTTTAAGGAGGCATCAGGTCTCAGGTTTGAGAACCACTGTGATATATAAAGAGCATTCATCATTTGATCATGTCTAAAACTATAAATTTTTGCATTATGAAATAAAATGTTAAGACACTTGAACCCATATTGTGGCAGAGGTGGTACCCAGACTCACTATTTCTTTTTTTCTTTTTTTTAATTAGTTGGGGGCTAATTACTTCACAATATTGTAGTGGTTTTTGTCATACATTGACATGAATCAGCCATGGATATACATGTATTCCCCATCCCGGTCCCCCCTCCCACCTCCCTCTCCACCCGATCCCCCTGGGTCTTCCCAGTGCACCAGGCCCAAGCACCTGCCAGACTCACTATTTCAAGACTGCACATCAGTGTGCTAACTGAAAGTGCTGTTCACAATATTTTGCAAGCTTTTATTTTCCAATTAGGTGTGGTGTTTCTTGTGATCAGTTGCTTCAACTGTGTCCAACTCCTTGCAACCCCGTGGACTGTAGCCACCACCCCCCCCCCAGGCTCCTCTGTCCATGGGATTCTCCAGGCAAGATTACTGGAGTGGGTTGCCATTGCCTTCTCCAGGCGATCTTCCTGACACAGGGGTTGAACCTGTGTCTCTTATGTCTCCCTGCACTGGCAAGTGGGTTCTTTACCACTTTCACCACCTGGACAGCCCAGTGTTTCTTAGTTAAATTATATTTGTGGGCACGTGTGGAGGACATGAAAGCTCATATATGTGAGATCCTGTTCAAACTGGGATGGAAAACAACATCATAATGGATGAACATGAGGTTAGGTAACTCCCGGAAAATGGTTGTTTGTGTGTGTGTGTGTGAGAGGAGAGAAAGAGTCTGACTCTTTGTGACCCCATGGACCCCCTGACAGGCTCTTCTGTCCATAGGGTTTCCCAGGCAAGAATACTGGAGTAGGCTGCCATTTCCTTCTCCTTCTTCCCGACCCAGGAATCAAACTCACATCTCCCTCACTGGCAGGCAAATTGCTTGCTACTGAGCCACCAGGGAAGCTCAGGTGGACTGCAGATTTCACGACATTCTCAAAACCATACGTGACCAGTAAAGGGTTAAGATCCAGCCTACTGTCAACCTCTGTCCATTTATGAAATAAACTGAGAACCAAGCAGCTGGGCGACTTGTCCAACGCCCAGCAGCACCTTGATGTCTTAGCTATATCTAGAACCCCGTCTCCAGGGATTTTCTCACCCCTTAACCATGTTGCCATCCTATCAGAGAGGGCTGATGACCTGACAGTTCTCCTAGCAAGGTTTCTTGAACTTAAATTCTTAAACTGATGTCAAGATCCCACTTGTCCTAAATTAAATATAATATGAAGAGGTACCAACCACTTTAAAACTGGGGGTAAATGTCTATTACATTGGTCTCTGTTTTATACCAAGACTACATAACTGTACTACATTTAAGTGCTATTGAATACTCCATTTTTTTTCCTGTGTGCGTTTTGGAGACACTGTGAAATTTCATTTAAATTTGTCTTACAGGTCAGAATGCAAATTTTGTAATAAAGTTACTGAGCTGTGTTTGAGCTTTAAAATTGCAGTTGGTTTCTAAAATTGAAATGACTTGCTTTATTTGTACATGAACCAAGTTATTTAACTCTTTTAAAGGGACTGTGTATGAATTTTATTACTTGGTTTTCTCTGTTGGAAATGACCATCAGAAGTTCCCTGGAAAATTTTTATTTTGACTCCATTTTTATGCTTTTAGAAAGAGGAGCATCACTGCTCTTTGATTGGGGATGGTAAAAAGAGGTTCTGTGTTTCCGTTCCTTGTGGAATGGGACCTTCTTTAGAATTACTAGCTTGTGGAAATAGAACTGCCATATGACCCAGCAATCCCACTTCTGGGCATACACACTGAGGAAACCAGATCTGAAAGAGACACGTGCACCCCAGTGTTCATCGCAGCACTGTTTATAATAGGCAGGACATGGAAGCAACCTAGATGCCCATCAGCAGACGAATGGATGAGGAAACTGTGGTACATATACACCATGGAATATTACTCAGCCATTAAAAAGAATTCATTTGAATCAGTTCTAATGAGATGGATGAAACTGGAGCCCATTATACAGAGCGAAGTAAGCCAGAAAGATAAAGACCATTACAGTATACTAACACATATATATGGAATTTATAAAGATGGTAACGATAACCCTATATGCAAAAAAGAAAAAGAGACTCAGATGTATAGAACAGACTTGTGGACTCTGTGGGAGAAGGCGAGGGTGGGATGTTTCAAGAGAACAGCATCGAAACATGTATATCTAGGGTGAAACAGATCACCAGCCCAGGTTGGATGCATGAGACAAGTGCTCGGGCCTGGTGCACTGGGAAGACCCAGAGGGATCGGGTGGAGAGGGAGGTGGGAGGGGGGACCGGGATGGGGAATACATGTAAATCCATGGCTAATTCATTTCAATGTATGACAAAAACCACTGCAATGATGTAAAGTAATTAGCCTCCAACTAATAAAAATAAATGGAAAAAAAAAAAAGAATTACTAGCTTGGTGCAATTGCTGTCAAAAGCAACAAAAAAGTCTATTTTCACATGCCTATTTTCTTCGCTTTCTTAAAAATTGGAGTACAGTTAATTTACAGTGTTGTTTAGTTTCTGCTGTCCAGCAAAGTGCTTCAGTTGTGCAGATGTGTGCGCATGCTCCGTTGCTTCAGTCGTGTCTGATTCTTTGGGACTGTAGCCCAGCAGGCTCCTCTGTCCATGGGGCCCTCCGGGCGGGAACCCTGGAGCGGGACCGGGCTCCTCTGTCCATGGGGCCCTCCGAGCGGGAACACTGGAGCGGGACCGGGCTCCTCTGTCCATGGGGCCCTCCGGGCGGGAACCCTGGAGCGGGACCGGGCTCCTCTGTCCCTGGGGCTCTCCGGGCGGGAACCCTGGAGCGGGACCGGGCTCCTCTGTCCATGGGACTCTCCGGGCGGGAACCCTGGAGCGGGACCGGGCTCCTCTGTCCATGGGGCACTCCGGGCGGGAACCCTGGAGCGGGACCGGACTCCTCTGTCCATGGGACTCTCCGGGCGGGAACCCTGGAGCGGGGCCGGGCTCCTCTGTCCCTGGGGCCCTCCGGGCGGGAACCCTGGAGCGGGACCGGGCTCCTCTGTCCATGGGGCCCTCCGGGCGGGAACCCTGGAGCGGGACCGGGCTCCTCTGTCCATGGGGCTCTCCGGGCGGGAACCCTGGAGCGGGACCGGGCTCCTCTGTCCCTGGGGCCCTCCGGGCGGGAACCCTGGAGCGGGACCGGGCTCCTCTGTCCCTGGGACTTTCCGGGCGGGAACCCTGGAGCGGGACCGGGCTCCTCTGTCCATGGGGCCCTCCGGGCGGGAACCCTGGAGCGGGACCGGGCTCCTCTGTACATGGGGCTCTCCGGGCGGGAACCCTGGAGCGGGACCGGGCTCCTCTGTCCCTGGGGCCCTCCGGGCGGGAACCCTGGAGCGGGACCGGGCTCCTCTGTCCCTGGGGCTCTCCGGGCGGGAACCCTGGAGCGGGGCCGGGCTCCTCTGTCCATGGGGCCCTCCGGGCGGGAACCCTGGAGCGGGGCCGGGCTCCTCTGTCCATGGGGCCCTCCGGGCGGGAACCCTGGAGCGGGACCGGGCTCCTCTGTCCATGGGGCCCTCCGGGCGGGAACCCTGGAGCGGGGCCGGGCTCCTCTGTCCATGGGGCCCTCCGGGCGGGAACCCTGGAGCGGGACCGGGCTCCTCTGTCCATGGGGCCCTCCGGGCGGGAACCCTGGAGCGGGACCGGGCTCCTCTGTCCATGGGGCCCTCCGGGCGGGAACCCTGGAGCGGGACCGGGCTCCTCTGTCCATGGGGCCCTCCGGGCGGGAACCCTGGAGCGGGACCGGGCTCCTCTGTCCATGGGGCCCTCCGGGCGGGAACCCTGGAGCGGGACCGGGCTCCTCTGTCCCTGGGGCCCTCCGGGCGGGAACCCTGGAGCGGGACCGGGCTCCTCTGTCCATGGGGCCCTCCGGGCGGGAACCCTGGAGCGGGACCGGGCTCCTCTGTCCATGGGGCCCTCCGGGCGGGAACCCTGGAGCGGGACCGGGCTCCTCTGTCCCTGGGGCCCTCCGGGCGGGAACCCTGGAGCGGGACCGGGCTCCTCTGTCCCTGGGGCCCTCCGGGCGGGAACCCTGGAGCGGGGCCGGGCTCCTCTGTCCCTGGGGCTCTCCGGGCGGGAACCCTGGAGCGGGGCCGGGCTCCTCTGTCCATGGGGCCCTCCGGGCGGGAACCCTGGAGCGGGACCGGGCTCCTCTGTCCATGGGGCCCTCCGGGCGGGAACCCTGGAGCGGGACCGGGCTCCTCTGTCCATGGGGCCCTCCGGGCGGGAACCCTGGAGCGGGACCGGGCTCCTCTGTCCATGGGGCCCTCCGGGCGGGAACCCTGGAGCGGGACCGGGCTCCTCTGTCCATGGGGCCCTCCGGGCGGGAACCCTGGAGCGGGACCGGGCTCCTCTGTCCATGGGGCCCTCCGGGCGGGAACCCTGGAGCGGGACCGGGCTCCTCTGTCCATGGGGCTCTCCGGGCGGGAACCCTGGAGCGGGACCGGGCTCCTCTGTCCATGGGGCTCTCCGGGCGGGAACCCTGGAGCGGGACCGGGCTCCTCTGTCCATGGGGCCCTCCGGGCGGGAACCCTGGAGCGGGACCGGGCTCCTCTGTCCATGGGGCCCTCCGGGCGGGAACACTGGAGCGGGACCGGGCTCCTCTGTCCATGGGGCCCTCCGGGCGGGAACCCTGGAGCGGGACCGGGCTCCTCTGTCCATGGGGCCCTCCGGGCGGGAACCCTGGAGCGGGACCGGGCTCCTCTGTCCATGGGGCTCTCCGGGCGGGAACCCTGGAGCGGGACCGGGCTCCTCTGTCCATGGGGCCCTCCGGGCGGGAACCCTGGAGCGGGACCGGGCTCCTCTGTCCATGGGGCTCTCCGGGCGGGAACCCTGGAGCGGGACCGGGCTCCTCTGTCCATGGGGCCCTCCGGGCGGGAACCCTGGAGCGGGACCGGGCTCCTCTGTCCATGGGGCTCTCCGGGCGGGAACCCTGGAGCGGGACCGGGCTCCTCTGTCCATGGGGCTCTCCGGGCGGGAACCCTGGAGCGGGACCGGGCTCCTCTGTCCATGGGGCTCTCCGGGCGGGAACCCTGGAGCGGGACCGGGCTCCTCTGTCCCTGGGGCCCTCCGGGCGGGAACCCTGGAGCGGGACCGGGCTCCTCTGTCCCTGGGGCCCTCCGGGCGGGAACCCTGGAGCGGGACCGGGCTCCTCTGTCCCTGGGGCCCTCCGGGCGGGAACACTGGAGCGGGACCGGGCTCCTCTGTCCATGGGGCCCTCCGGGCGGGAACCCTGGAGCGGGACCGGGCTCCTCTGTCCCTGGGGCCCTCCGGGCGGGAACCCTGGAGCGGGACCGGGCTCCTCTGTCCATGGGGCCCTCCGGGCGGGAACCCTGGAGCGGGACCGGGCTCCTCTGTCCATGGGGCTCTCCGGGCGGGAACCCTGGAGCGGGACCGGGCTCCTCTGTCCATGGGGCTCTCCGGGCGGGAACCCTGGAGCGGGACCGGGCT